GGCCCGGGGCCTGGAGGCCAAAGGGAACAAGCAGGACCTGATCAACAGGCTCCAGACGTACCTGGAGGAGCACGGTAGGGCCAGCGCGGCTTCTCTTGCCTCCGTTTGCCCCGTTAAGGGCCTCCGTTCTGCAGTTGTTACAAGCAGCAGATGTTGCTGTGCCTTGAGTCAGGTCTCCTGCTTGTGAGAGACCTTCTGGGCTTTGGCTGGGGGGAGTTTTGTAGAAAAGGCGTTTTTTTGCTGCCCATCCCAGCAAACGTTTGTGGGGAACATTTGCATGGAGAAAGAAGCCTCATTTTAAGCTAATTATGCCAACTTTAACTATATCCGTCTGTTTCTCGCCTCAGTATTTCCCATTTTTTCCTCAGAAGACTTTTAAGTAGCAGCTTTCGCTTCTCAGATAACTTGCAAGTCCTTACAATCGCTGCTGCCTTTTTCCATTAGCTGAAGAAGAGGCAAATGAGGAAGATGTCCTGGGAGAAGAAATAGAGGTAAGTTGTCCCTTGGGCAGATCCCAGCAGTCGCGCGCGGGTTCTGCCGCCTGTCACCTCCTGGTGGCCGTGGGTGGCACTGCACAAGGCGAGGGGACAACGTGTGATCAATCAGTACGACCCTGCAGCGACCGGGGCCACTTTCACCTTAAAGCACCCTCGTAACTCCTTGTTGTGTCCAGAATAGCTGTTCTTTACATCGGAGGTTGTGTCACCACATTAGTGTGCGGAAATTGTGAACGTGTCCCGTTGTTGTGAAGCGTTTTTGGAAAACATGTAGTTTTGTGGCTGCTATTTTGCTATTTGATAGTTGTAGCCGTGCTGAATAGCAGGCACCCTCTGCTGGTCCCTCATTTTTGTCCTTAATAACTAACGTTTCTGGCATTTTTTTGTGTTTTTAGAAAAGAATGCGCCTAAGGAAGAAGGGAGGGAGATGCAGGCTGCTCTGAGTCACCTGGGGAAGGGAGCCATAAAGCTGAGGGGTTTATGCTGTGAGAAGAGTAAAGGGATTCGGGCTGAAAAAGCGCTCAGTGCATAAAATTCTAGTAAAAAAACCCACATTTTTTCCACTCATTAGTGTCAAGGTTTTTGCTACGTGGCAAAGGTGCGCGAATTACATGATAAATGCACTTTTCCCACCTCGCTGAAGAGGATTTAAGGGAAATAAAGCAAGGTTGCTGGAGTCATGCTAGGCACCATGCGCGCTGCGCAGCTTCCTCGCTGTCCGCAGGCTCCGACTGCAACTTGGGAACGTTTAATTCAGGTGATTCCCAAAGCTTTGCCAAGCCCGAGCTCTCCGAGGAGGGCTTAGCCTTAGAGAAACCAAGCAGGAGCCTGTGTGCGTGGAAGCCACCCCAGCTCAAATGCTGGCGGTCTGACACTGTGACCGTATAATATTGTTTCTTAGCACAAACGTTGCCTTGTTAAGGAACTTAACCAACCCCGGGGCAAAAGGCACCCAGGTTCTCGAGCACTTAAGCCCTTCTTCAAGTCCAAAAAAGCAGCTTAAGCGAAGTGCAGGTCAAAGAGTGTCCGTTGTGTTTAGAAACTGGCTGGTTGTTGTCCCTAGTGCTCCTGTGTTTTACTAACAGCTCTGCTATGTAGTTCAGAAATCCTTAAATAGAAAGTCAGAGCTCTGGGCACTTGCCTTTTAAGCCATGGAGAATGCCGGGGCATTCCCTGACCTCTTCCCAACTCCTTGACTTGCAGGAAGAAGAGCAGAAGCCGGTAGAGCCACCCGTCAAAGTCGAGGAGCCTCCTGTAAAATCGCCTGATGTGTAACTATCCTTTCTGCCAAAGCAAAATTGTGGGGAAGAGCAGGAGCTATTCCTGCAAAACTGTGGGGAATAGCAGGAGCTCTGTGCCCGGGAGAGAATTTTGCCTTCTGCAGATGCTCCCGGTCTCCTTTGCCAGGCTTGGTGGGACTCTCCTGAGGCTAAAGGGGTTGTTGCTGCACCAAGGGGGCCTCAAATTCTCCATTTTAAGCCAAATTTCCTGTGTTGATAGTGTTACAAGGAGGTGCTTTACTCGGGTCGCCAGCCAGGGCCTGTTTTTTCCCCGGCCTTTGGCCACAGGAGAGCGAGGAAAATGATCCCTGCCGGGAAAGGACGGAGCGGTGAACAGCCCAAGGGGCCGGCACGAAGCCTCCCTGGGCCATGGGAGCCCGTTCAGTGCCTTGTGCTGGCCCTCAGCAGGGCGAGATGGAGCCCGCTGGGTGTCCCCGCGTGCGGGGACGGCGCGGGGACGCGCGGGGTGGCGCGTGCTCCGCTGGCCCTCGAGCAGGAGGGGGCGTCCTGGGCCCGCCGGTGGCGGCGCCGCCGGGGCACCCGGCGAGCGAAAAGTCCCAGCTCCCAGGCCAAATTGCTTCCTGTGAAAGTGTCATTAAACCATTACTACCTTTCAGGGCATAAAATGAGAAACCTGTCCAGGAATTTGGAACAAAAGCAGCACATTTTTCTAAATGGGAGACCTTAATGAGGCTGGCTGTGACCCACTGTTTTATGGGAGTTGTTCGGAGGAGGATGATGCTATTTCATTTAGCCTGGGAACTTCCGAACTTTGTCTCTTCCCCTTTTGTTTTCTCCCTCGAGCCTCAGCTCTGTTTTCAGAGCATAAACTTTGGAGCCCGCCCACTCCATTATATTTTCGTTTAGTCTTTTTACTGGTCCTGCTGTTGTCAGCTGCACGTTGTTAAAGAAGTGTGTGTTTGAAATGGAGCCTGAGCTGGGGACGCTGCTGCTGACCTGGGGAGAGCGGCCTGTGGCTGTCCCATGAACTAGAACAGAGCAACCCTTTGTATTTGAGGGCCATAAAGGAATAAAGCTTTTCAGGGCCTGCAGTTGAGGCTTTTGGCTTCTAACAAGAGCTGAATGTTACTGCTAAGAGCCTTAGGATGTGCAGGAGGTTATTTGCTCTACGTGGCCTCTTGCTGCAATATCCCCCCAGCGTTTTGAGGGGCATCTGCAGCCCCCCTCTTTGAATCGTAGGGTGTTTTTCTTGCCTTAAGTGGAGGTATTTCTGCCTCCAAGCTTCTGTGGGCAACGGGTGAGCGAGTTGGGGATGGCTCTGGTGCTTCCAGCATTTTTTAGGGCTCCCAGGCAGCTTCCCATCCCTGCTAGCAGAACTTGGCAACGGAATATTGTCCGCTCAATGTGCTCCCTAGGACACACACATCCTGCCACTAACACAGCCCAGATTTTGATTATAAACCCCCCAGTTTTCACCCCAGACTCCAGCACTGACCCCTGAGCTCTAGACTTGAGGGTTTTTATGGCCCCCATAAGGAATTGATGGTCGTGGCCCCCGTCTTTCTAAAAACAGATCCTAAGTTATTGCCGTAACTGCCGCCGGAGAAGGGCGCTGAGGGAGGGAGCCTTGACACGCTCTGTGCATGCAAAGTTAGTGGGACTGGTTCTGATTTATCTCTTTTTTCACCACCTTTAGGAGTACGGAAAAGAAAGTAGTGAAAATAACATCAGAAATATCGCAGATGGAGGTAAGGACCTTTCTTCCTCTTCATCCCCTTCCCCAGTGTGTCCATTTTCTTTCCCAGTTTATGTAAAATTCCACCTGCAAAAGGCTGGGGCTGTCAGTGCTTCCATAGCAAACCTGCTCTATTTTTCCATTATTTTTATATTAACAGTCAGTTGCTGGCTGTAGGCTGCCCTAGCGGAGTGCTGACCTATTTAGGGTATGATCCATATTTCCCTTCCTGCTCCAGCTGACACGGAAGCACCGCTGCAGAATTCACCAGAATTCCCATCCCTGGGAATTGCTGCAAGGGCGAGTGCTCTACATGTGCAAAACTCCAAAGCTTTGGGGAATAATCAGCTAGGGAGGAACTGATATGAGCTAGCAGATCATCCCGTCTTTATCTCCTGTAACTTTATGACTTATATTTGCTGGGCTTTTTTAAAATAAACACCCTGGAAGCTGCTGATTCCTCTGGGAAAGCTTTGCAAAACTTTGAGTTTCAGGAATCTGGTTCCATTTCTCTAATTTTCCCCTTTGTCGTCATTATTATTATTTTTTTTTTCCCCGCTCAAGCTCGATAAGAAAGGACTTGGTATGAAAACATGACTCTTGTCTCCCTGCTGTTCAGCCACTACTTTGGAGTCTTAATCTTCTGTTTGTGACACGATCATTTCCCCAGCAACCGGGGTGATGTCGCAAGTGGAGGATTAGGACCTCAGCTGAGGGAGGAATGGGGAGAAAGTTGGAACCTGGTGAAAACCAGGAGTGTTGCTAAAGGAGCGACGTTGCCCACACTTGGGGGCTGCTCTTGGCAATAGTTGCTTAAAGAGCTCATTAAGCAAACTTGAAATTACACTTAATTACACTTATTTTTTTTTCTCCTGAATTTTGGCCAGACGTAGGGAAACCACTTTTTAATGAAGGTTGACCAGCCTCAACAGAGTCTTGATGTAAATGTTTGAAGATAAAAGGAAATATTATTATTTTTTCCACGTAATGCATAATAGGAGGCATTGCGGGAGGATATTTAGGTGCCAGAAGTGCAGACGAGTTCAAAAAGCAGAGGCAGTTTCACAGCAGAGAACCCATCAGGGTTAAACGAATGCAAGTGGGAGTGCAGCTCATAACTCAGGATGTCATTAGCTGTGGATTCCGTGGGGCTGGGGAGGAATACAGGGGGCAAAACACCTTTTTGCTTTGATCTTAATGCTTTTCTAACATCTACTTATGGTCAGACAGGATGCTAAGGTGGAGGAAGCCTTTATTCTGAGCTAGGATGGCCCTTCTGTAGCTGAGAGTCCTTTTAAAAGCTGCCTGCTTGGTGTTTCTTTTGAGTATTCCTACTCTTCAAAGTATTTGGGAAAGAATAAGGAAATATGCTTTGATCTGAATAATGCACTTTTTTTTTCTGTCTTCAGTGTGCTTTTCAGCTGAATTAGAAGTTCTTTAGTCTTGACACCATCAGAAGTGAACTCTAGTTCCTGATCTATCTCTTCTAAACACTTATGTTTTGATGCAAATATTTATTACACTCCTCACTGTGTTTTTGGCTCAAGTAAATGTTTCCATTAAACTGTTATCTGTTTCTCTAACCTTTAAAGCTCCAAACGCATTTTTGTGCTGTTGTGTAACAATAAAATGCTAAACATTTCCCTTGAGCTTTTCAAGGGATTTAATCCTTGTAGGTGCAAACCCTTGCACTTCCAGAGTCCCCAGGCGTTTTATGCCTTGGGCAGCTGCTCCAGGCTCCTGGAAGCCTCTCCGGCATCTGACCAGGTCCTTCCTGTGGAGATGAATTTTGTCTTAAATTGTGCTGCTAATGACAAACCCTGAGCCTAATCACAGCCTTGTCTCATGCGAAAAGTCATCTGTGTGTGTCAGCTCCCTGCTCTTCTCCTTTGGCACGTCCCCTTTCCTAGGGTTACTTAGTGACAGGGTAATAAAATATCTTTCAGGCCAAGGCAGCTAGAGCCCAGGAGAAAAAGTATTCGCTGTCACAAGTGGCTGTAGCTGTTTTTGTCTGGAAAAAAATACGTGTATTTTTATTATGCACGCGTAAAAGCCATAAGACTTCTTTTTCAAGCGTGCGTCCAGAGGTTGTGGAACCTGGCAGGGCACATCCTGCATTGCATCCGCGGCCTCTTCCCTTCTGCGATCCCCTTTTCCATGTGCTCCGGCCTTTTGTCACCTGCTTCTTTTCCTCTCCCTGCTCCAGAGAATGCAGAAGAGAGCTGAACGCTTCAACGTGCCGGTGAGCCTGGAGAGCAAGAAGGCGGCACGTGCAGCTCGGTGAGTCTGTCCCCTCGCTTTGGAGGCCCCTGGGGACACTTTTCTGAGTGGCAGGTTGGGTTGGGGGGACGCAGAGGTGGCCTCGCGAGGCAGGAGACCTGCTCCAATTGGATGCATCCAATTGCGGAGCACAAGAGTTTACTGGTTGTTAGGGATAAAATACTGCTCAAGTAGTCTGGAAAGGCAGAGTAATGAAAGGGAAAAGTGGCTATTTGTGTGTTAATTGTAAATCCGTCTAGTTTTTCTGGGCTTTGAGGTTGCTGTTTGCAGAGAGAAGGTGAGAGTTGCTGCAGTAGTTACATTAGTTGCTATTCCTGCATTCCAGTAAATCCTGCCTGAAAGCTGGAGTCGAGTGCACTTTTGAAAAGAGTTTGGGGGAAAAGGTGACACTTTGCCAGCTCCAGGACTTGGCGTATCGGATATTTTCCTTCCTTTTATCTGCTTGAGTCTCTGACAAAGCTTTGTTTGCTTTCCACAGGTTTGGAATGGCCCCAGTTTCCACTAAAGGTGAGGAGGTGAAGCAGAACCAGGTTGTGGAGTGATGTTACTGCAGATGTTTATTCCTGAAAAAAATCACTGGTGGGGCTATTTTTGCATTAATTTCTGTCCATTTTTGATTCAGAGGCTCTGAGTGGGTGCTAGTAGAATTGGGATGAAAGGCCAAGTAATCCCTAGTGCCTTAGACATGTGCCAACATCTACTCCTGAGCACAGCTGGAAGAATCCAGCCAGATTTGAGCACCAAACCCTCTTCAGCTTCTTTAAAAATGCTGGGTTTAACTATCAGTCTTAGCAAGGTGAGAATGGCAGCAGTTTTACAGCTGAAGTAGCTGACTAGGAGGTGAAAACGATTTGGAGACAAACTGTGTAGTGAGCAGAGGAGAAAACTGGGGAAAATGGGTGGTTGTGCTGTGACTTGGCTGTCGCTCTTTTCAGATGAGCTCCTGCTCTTAATTCCTGATTTCTAATCTTTTTTTGTTCGTTTTCTCACCTCTTTGTTTCAGGCCTCTCTGCAGACAGCAAACCTACGGTAAGACCTGCTTAACTGTTATTAACTGTTATTAACTATAACTATTAACTATAACTAGTTAACTGTCATTAACTGTTGCTGGCCAGGCCTCTAAAACGAGCTGGGATTTTCTGCCTGCGTGGGTACGCTCTAAGTTATCCAAATGGGCTGCGGAAGAGCTGTGTGGGGCGAGAGCTTAACGGAGCAGCCCACCTTGATGCTGCTCTTGTACTGAAAATCAGATAGCTCCCCATCCCTGCATAGTGTTTGGCTGCCTCTTGTGACTTGCCATTTTCTTAGGTAAGTTTTTTTTTTAGAATGAAATGCTGAAAGGAGCAGAAAAGGGTATTTCATTTGTTTCACGTGCCTGTTTTTCATGCTCTGCCTTTTGAGTTGCTTGAATTATGCTTCAGGGATGGGAATTATGAATGATCTGTAGGAAATTATTCTTTGCTTCTAACGAGCAAAGCTGCCTTGCCGGTCTGATTCCAAATCTTCAGTGGGAAGCACCAAAGCTGGCAGGGCTGTGCGCTCTAAGCAGCCAAACAACTCGCTCAGTGCTTGGCCATTGCAAAGCAGGGTGAGTGGAAGATGCAACAAACTCATTCCAAGGCTGGATCCCTCCCTAGGGAAGGTTACAGGTTCCTCTTGTGCCAAGCGCTCCAAGATTTTGCTTGGACACCTGAGAAGCAGGATAGTCCTCCATGGAAGTCCCTCCCTGCACATCTGTTCGGCTGTTTCCTTAGGGATAAGTGCCATAGTAGTGGCTTTCCTGGGGAATTTCACCCAGGTGTGACTAGCTGGGGAAGAGGGAGGATGCAGCAGCGGTTTCCTAAGCCTGTGGCAGACAGGGCGAAGTGCTAGATCCTGGGAAGCTCGTGAGCTTTGCCAGAAAAGCTTCATTTTGTGGTGAGCTGCTACAGAAATGCCAGGCACAGCTGACGGTACCGGTCTGAGCCCTTTGAGGGGGCGAGTGTCGCCTGTCTTGGTCATTCCACGCTGGTTTGGATGGAGCTTTTTGGGATATTGGCCCAGCTTCCCCTCAGTGCCAAGGGGAGCTGCTGCCGCGGAGCGTTAGTGCTGGAAGGAGCGTCCGGGGGCAGGATTTCCAGGAGCAGGTCTGTGTCCTGGGAGCCTTTCCCAGCGAGCAGTGTCTGCCCTAGTCCTGCAATTTGAGTGATGCTGGTTTAAAAAAAAATAATGATAATAAAAAAAATAAACTGTTTCCTATGTCTTTATAGGTAAACATGGATAAATTAAAGGAAAGGGCTCAGAGATTTGGGTTGAATGTCTCTTCGCTCTCCAAGAAGGTAAGGTGCACTGGCCTGCAGGATCCTCCTTGCACCGCCTGCGTGGCCCCGTGCTGCAGCTCGTGCACAGGCTGCTCCAGACCTTCCTGTCCCTGCGGTTCCGCATCCTGCTCGCGCGCCGGCGCGGCCGGGGACGCCCCGGCATCGTTCCCTGCGTCTTCCCTCCCGTTCGCGCGCGCTGCCCGTGACCTTTCCGCGGCTTGGAGGACGTTACGGCCTGTAAATAGAGGTGTAGGAATCTAGGATTGCTCCTTGGAGCTGCCGCATGTGAAGAGAGACCATTTTGGGTTGAATCGGTTCGTTTTCAGGTGTTTTAGGTGCCCGTTTTGGGCTGGGGCAGGAGCCAAGTGCGTAAAGAGCAAGGTAACGAGCTCTCCGAAGACGACGAGTCCGGAGCTCCCTGGTAGCAAATAACTTTTTGAAGTACAAATGAGATGAGCTTGGTAGGGGGCTGGATTTTGCCTAAAAGCTCCTTATTTTAGGTGAGGAATATGTCTGAGTTTTCCGTCTTTTGAGGCAGTTTGTTTCACATCTTCCGCGTGTTGGCCCTGGTCGGGTGGGCAAAACTGCACGTTATCCCCATCCGGAAAAGCGTCCGGATCCGCTGGGAAGGCAGCGGGAGCACTCGGAGCCTCCTCTCCGGCGTGATGATCCCTGGAATGCCTCTTGTGGCCGCCTGGGGCGAGGCTGGATTTAGGGTGTCCAGGGAAAGCAGATTCCCCCGGAGAAGAAAGGATAAACACGCTCTGGAATTAATACAACATCCTGTGCACCGAAATAGCCTCTTCCTCTGCTGGGCTCTGACGTGTCCTGCGCTGCCGCGCGGCTCCAAAGGGAGCAAAAAGGAATCGTCCGGCTCTAGCGGCTGGATAATGTTGGCATGGAGACCTCTCCTCTCCGGAGAAAGGGTGAGCGCGGAGGGAGGCTTCTCTTCCCTCATCCCTGTGAAATGAGCTCCTCTCCTCCTCGGGGGGATGGATTTGACCTTTTTTGCTGCCTGTTTCTCCGTGTCGGAGTGTTCTGCTTTATTCCACAGGCCCTGGGAATTCACTGATGTAGAAAATATCCAGCATTGGAGGTCGCTGTTCCCCCCCCGCGCTTCCCTCTGCGGTCCCTTTGGGGGTGGGGGAAGGAGGGCAGTGCATTAAAGCTGGGATATGTGGAGCTCGGGGTGAGAGGCTGCTCAAACATCATTAACCCTGTCACTAGGAGCTCCCATTTTTCAGGAGCAATAGATGCCTTGTCAACATTTATGGCCTCGGCCTTCGCGGGGTGGGATTGCGGAGCGGACCCTCCGGCAGGAGCCGGGATCCCGGAGCGGCACCGCTGCCTCTTTCTCCCATTCCGCCCCCCTTTTTTTTTTTTATTTGCTTCCACCAGGAAGCCGAGTTCACGGGCTTAGAAGTGGCTTCTCCCACTGAGCGGAACACACTCCCGCATTCCTGGGAGGAATATTATTGGTTACTTTAATTAGCTGCTCGTATTGTGCTTCCCACCTGGGTGTTCTTTATAGCTTTTCATTACGGAGGAGCCTGGCGGTTGCGACTGTTTACATGTGGCTTGGCAGGTTTTTAGACTGTGCGTCGCAGCAAAAACTTTACAATAAAGCATTGTCTCCCCGGAGCCACACTTCATTTCCCATTCAAATTGCTTGGGGAAGGGCTCGGGATGCAGGGGGGGAATCGTAGCCAAGGGGGATTCAGAGCCACGCTAGTGGCTGTGAACTCAGCTGTAGCTTTGAACCCCCTTCCCCCTCCGTTAGCCCTCTGGGGTAGGAATCTTTCAAGTTGAAAATCCTCTTCCTCTCTAAAGGGAAAGCGGGAGAGCAGCGGAACGGAGCGGCGCCGGGGGGCAGGAGGCAGGTGCTCGTTTGTCTCAGGGCAGCACGGGGCCATCAAATTAATTTTTAAAATAAATCAAGGCGGCGTCGAGCTCCCCGGCGCACGAGCTCTCCCCGCGGCGGCCTCCCGTTACCGGCACGTCGCGGCCCTGGAGCTGCCGCCCCCGGCTCCCGGAGTTGTGTTTAACGCCCCCCACTTGTAAATGTTCCCTCTCGGCCGCAGCTGCTCCCGTCACCCTCCCGCTCCCCCGGGGAGCCTGTTTAGCCGCGTGTTTGATATGCAGGATTCGAGGGAGCGGCGATTCCCAAGCGTTTCTCCAAGGGCAGCCTGGGCTCTTTATGTATAAAACAGCGCCGTGTAGCTCCTGCTGGGAACACGTCGGCACCAAATGGACAGCGGGAACCCTTGGGAGGACATGAAAGCCCCGCTCGCCACCTCCGCGCCGCGTTATCAAGCACCGTTCCCCGATCGCAGCAGATGACTCCCATAATTGGCTCTTGTATCTCCTGTTCAACGCGGAGCCCTCAAACGGCCTCGTGAGCAATTAGCTGATTAACCCTCTGCTATCCAGGGGCTCCGGGGCCACCCATCCCGCTTGGAGCGCCCGTGTCCCCATGTCCCGGGGGTCCTCGCTGCGTCCCCCTGGCCCTTCCCTTGTGCTGGGGTGGCTGTTGCAGCGCTGGTGACATCCAGGTGCCACCGCCCGCGCAAAGGAGACTCAATGCGGTGACACGACCGTCGGTCATGGCTCTAACGCGGATTTAATGCCCCGTAATGAGAATTTTGTTTTACATGCGGAGGAGAATCGCTGCCGGGCGTGGGGTCAGGCGACAGCAGAAAGCTCGTGTGAGTACAAAATATCCAAACGGGAGAGAGGGAAAACAATCGCCTTAATTGTTTGGCTTCCAGCAAGCTGCTAATAACGTGCTGGGGAGGAATCCTTTGCCCGGATGCTTCCTCTGCCTGGAGTCTCCTAAACCCCCCCGCCAACCCCGGCTGAGAAACTGTTAACCACCAAGGAAAGGGTGATGCCGGGGGGAAAAGTGCTGATGCCGGCAAAGAGGAGCGGGGATTCTTGGAAGAGGGGCCTTGCAGCCGGCGGCGCGCGGAGCCGCCGCTCGGGGCCTCTGCGGCCGGGCTGCTCGCAGGACGTGCACTTTGGTGCCACTTTCGAGACGCGGCTCCCGCCTGCAGCTCGGGATGTTTGCGAAAAACTCGGGAATGTTGGCCAAAACCCCGGCGCTTCGCAGCTTCCTTATCAGCCTTGTGTGTTCTGCGCCCCGCTCCGGTGTACCCGCTCTGTGCCGTGGTGCGGAGCGGAGGAGGGACGTCCCCTTCCAGGCCGGATCCCAGCTCCTTCCCTGTCTTCTTACTGCTTCTCCTTCCCTTTCTTTCTCGCCTTTGGTAGTGTTTTGAGCTGAAATACCTGCAGAAGGGGTCCAGGGAAGCGTGTGCGCTGTGCTGCCCATCCAGAGCGCCGCAGGGACCGGCCTTGTCCCCAAGCTCTCGGCAGCGCTTCGAACAAGCCCCAGAAAGGAGGTTTCCTGCCTGGGGGCAGCGTGCGCGTCGCGATGGGCAATGTCGCGAGCGCCTCTGCGGCGGCTCCGGCGCCGTGTGCAGCGCCTCGAGCTCTTAAATCTTCATATTTTCAGGTATTTCACAAAGCTGCTTTGGGTAATTTCCTAAGGGATTTTCTGTCTCCCTCTGTGTTAGACTGCTGGTAACTAAGGCAGCTGGGTTTGCGGGCAGGAGGAGGGGGAAGAATAGTCCTGGTTTAGGAGGCAGAATAAAAGCAAAGCCTCTAAAACATCTTTGTAATATTATTTTTTTTGCCTGTTACAGGAGCAGTTTTTCAAAGTAGGTCAGAACGTAAGGACAGAAGTTAGGTCAGAACGTAAGGACGCGGTTCAGGGAATTGCATGGATGTGTGGAAGCAAAGCTGGAAAGACCCAGGTACAAAACAAGGCTCCCAGCAAGGGCTGGCGGGGGGGGCGGGCG